GGGGCGCGGAACTTTTTCACCCTCGCGTTCAGAAGAACGTAGAAAACTGCCGCGACTCCGCGCCGTCCTGTAAACCGGAGGCGCCATCACTCAAGATGAGGCTCAGAGATTTTGAGATCCACGGGGGAAGTCCAAGGCAGGACTCTATCAGGGGCGGTATCCCCGCGTCCGCATCGGGTGCCACCTCACCCAGCTACACCGCGGGAGCTCCTTGAAACCTCCGTGTCGGCATTATTTGGTCTTCTAACAGTCGCGGATGAAAACGAAGCTCAACGATTTTCCGAGAGGCGGTCGGAGGGCGGAATATATTGGAAGATTGAGGACCGCGCGACCTTATCAGGGAGGTCAACTCACATCAACGGCTAGTCATGCAATCGCGAATTTTATCAGGAGATTCTGAAAGCGACGACGATGAAGCGAATAGATCAAAGAAGGTCAATGCGTAAGAGGTCTCGAGATTCTTAAACCACGGAGAATGAGTGACTTTCGATCCAGATATGGGATCTGACTAACCATTGCACTTGGGTTCGCTAACAGATCGTCTTCGGTAATCGGATCGACCACGAGCTCCATATTCCTCGCCCGTTTCGAGCCGTTTTCGAGTTCCATGAGCTCATCAATGGATGAGGCGAACCATCGAGCGCCAACATGGATTATTCGAAGATACTTCGGTTGGTCTATCTCAATGAGTATTATCAGCCTCATGATCTTGGCAAGACTGTACGCTGCGCCCAAGTATCCGACGAGCTTCAAATCTTTGACTCGTAGGTTCGGCCCTTCTATGAATTCGGGTGGAGAATCGCTGACGCCTTCCGCGCGAGACATCTTCCGCGTATCTCACTAAATCCTGATTCTCTTCTCGATGGAATCTAGCATGCGCAGTCAACAACGGGGAATGTCCGCTCCAGTCCACTTGTGCGGATGATATGTGTCATTGCAACGAGGGTCTTGTTTTCTACGATGACGAATGCTTGCGTGAGTGCGATTCCACAATGTAGTCGGTATCATCTGACTCCGTCGTTATGAGGCTTCTGCGAAGCCAATCGAACTTCTGGAGAGTTCAGGTTTCAGTCGTGAATGCGCCGCATGTCCTCCTTCAATGAGTTGTAATCTGACCTCACTCAAGTGCCAATGCTGGCCTGATTACTTCCAAACGGGAAACGGTTGCGTGAAGAAAGGTGACTCGCGCTCCCACCTCCATTATTGATAATGATCAGCCATTGCGACAAAATATAAATCGTATTTCACCGAATTTCTCTCCAGGAAGACCTTGCAAATACTGCCCTGATGATAGCTGCGGTCCGGCAGGTGTATGCGACTGCAGCGAAAAAAACAGGATACCGGGTCTAGAGCAAGCCTGCTACGGTAAATTCAGCTATTCGAATAATTTCGGCATTGGGTAGAAGCGTCGGCGTCTTTCGAGGGAAGGACTTCTACCGTCGAGTCTGACCTCGATCTGACCTCGATCATCAAGGTGACAGTAAATGTGCAGAAATCACCGGAGAATGGGCTGCTGACTCTACGAACGCAAGCGAATGCGAAGAATCCTTCGAAAGCGACTTCCTCAACGGGACGCTCCTGAGTCGTCGCTCGATGTTGATTGCCCGAGACGGTGATGTCACTCAGAGAAAAGTGGGTTTGCTCTGGTCAGCGATCATGGTCGCGGGCATCCTGGCGGAGTTGCAACTGGAAAGTAGCCCACTTAGGAAAGTCAGTCATTGCATCGATAAGTTTATCGGAAGAGACTTCTACAAGGGCAATACGGGAGAATGCTGGGATGCGTCTCTGGATTTGTTGTCGCCGTACCCGTACTACGACGCAGAGAGGCCGTTCGCCATCTTCTCTTCCGTCATCGATGTCTCGCTGAATACGTCGAAATCGTACCGTCTCTGCGTCCACTCAGCGGATCGCTGTCGGAACGCCGTGACGCGAGGCAAGGACGATAAACAAGCGAGGGAATTATTCAAGAACGTGCGGGACCTGTTTTTGCTTTATCGGTTGATCGCGATGCTGGACTCCTACCCTCCCCCGAAAGTCTCGATGGCAAGGCTGATTGGGCTGGTCGCGAAAGAACATGGGCCAGCGTTGAAGGCCGTCTTCCTCTACATTCTCAAAGAATCGAAGTATTTTCAAGATTTCATTGATCTCGTGAATAATGTGGTCTGTGATGGGAACATGCCAGACGCTGGATTCTGCGGATACGATGCAATGAGAATCAATGTCGTCGTATCCTCGCCGATTAGGGAATACTCAGCCTTGCAGACTCAGGTGGAGAAAGCTCTCGAGAATCTTGAAGAATTGATTGATATCAAGTGGAACAAGAAATTAGTGATCTTGCCCGTAGTGTCGTTGTCTGTAGATGCCTTCTGGAGATCCGCGCGAGAAATCGGATTTGTTTACGATGCCCTCTTGCTGTCACGCGAAAGGAGCGAGACTCGGCAGAAGCTGTATATCATACCGCTGTCTTTCCTTCGATTCTGCAAAGACGTGTGGACAGAAGAATGCGCGGCTTTCATCAGCGCAAGCGTGGTCGGTCAGCTGGCCAGACAAAGCATATTCAAATCCTGCGCTGGAGATTCAAGAACTCTGACAATCGACTGCGAGTAAGTACATAGAAGTAGGTGCCCCTCTCACCGCTCCCACTCAGAAAAATCCTGTGCGCGCTTCTTCTTCGGAGAGGTTCGTGCTGTTTTCCTAAATGCGCGATTCTCTGGCAGGATGAGTATTTACTACAGCCTCCGGGCCAGGTCTCCGCTCATTCCACCGCCTCAATACTTCGCTCTGCGTCTGGCGAGAATCTTCTACGGGAAATATTTGAGATCGGATGATCCATCGAAGTTGGTGTACCTGAAGTCATCGTGTAAGGAAAGTTACGTACAGAGAATCAAGGCATGTAATTCTCTGCGGGATCCGTAGTTCTCTCGGGGGCTCAATCCAATTTGGAAGATCCTATTTCCCGAGGAGGATATCGTTTATTAGAAGGAAGCTGTTTAGTATGAAGGTTCGGAAGCAACGAGTCGGGAATCTGACCAAGCTCGGCATCTCCGCCACTCAATTTGCGTTTCCCCTGATTGAGGAAAGCTCGAATGATTTGATCGACTTCTAGGGGTTGCTGCGAATCTTTCCGATCCCCAAGATTATGTTTGTGTTTTGTGTATAAATGAAAAGTGGCATCGTACTCATCGCGAGCTGTCTTGGCTTCTCTTCGATTCTCTCCCTCGATAGCTTCAGTTGAGTGGGTTTTGTTCCGTTTTCTTGAGGAACGCTCGCGTCTTATTATCGAAGTTTCCCCTTCGAGATCTCGACTCAGTGAATAGAATTTCGTGCCTGTCCAATTCCGTGAGTCTTCTTCCCTTCTCACTACCGCGGAGTGAGAAAGTGAGTAAAATTGAGTGAAAATCTATGAGATTGATCATCCCCCTAAATCATCAAAGAGCTCCGCCAGGATATTGCGAAGCTGAGCATCCTTCCCCTGGAGACCGCAACAGCCTCGAGTCCCGGGCGATCGTCCAGATCTCGCATCAAGATGCTCGGATCACGAGTGTGGCGTTGGCGGTACGTGAATAATTTTCTTCTCTTTCGAATGAATCCCAGGAGCCTGAGTGGGGTGAGAAACTCCTTTCTGGCGAAGATCATGGCGATGTCGCGAGCGAAAGCCGTGGAGCAGTATCGCAGGCGCTCAACAAGTCTGAGAGGTATACCTTGCTGGTCAGATGACCGCGGATATCGGACGTAGCGCACGTTCTCCCTCTCTCAATTTCTCTATGGAATGGTATTTACCTTGTTCGCGCGCTCCGGTTTGTAAACATTGTCCGGTTCTTGACTCGTTCGGATATCGTGCACCGTACGAAGTCAACGAAGTCGCCCTCAGCTGGATGCATTTCCGGTCCGTAACGACACCGAGATAGATTTCGCTTTTTCGTGCGGAGGTTTACCTCGGATTGCGAATTCTCAGACGCACATGACAATCCATTGAAGAGAATCGGGGGATTTTGCGCTCGAGATTAGTTTGCGAGAGGTATACTTGATTTCTCCCATTGATATGAAAGCTCGCGCCCCGCGCCCCCCCTCCCTGTCATGAATATGCCTCTCTGAGAGACTTATAGAGGAGAAGATTCGGATCTCCGGAACTCGAGACATAATTTTCGTGGGAGAGTGAGCTTCGCTTCCTGCCAGGAAATCCGAAGGCTGCAGCGGGTGTTTGTTCATAATTCTTGCCTTCTTCGGTCGAAATACAAGAGCAAGCCCCCCCCGGAACGGAGCTCGACTCGGACTCACTGTTGACAACTCATTTGTAGATCTTTCCGGGATGAGTTGCCCCATATCTCCTCCCAGGAAGAAGAAATCTTCCCGGCCTACTTCAGCTCGAGGCGGTGCGGAAAAAGATCCGAAGGCTCGGAGGGCCGATCCCGTTAATGCCCCAGATCGGACTAGGATTGTAGGTGAAAAACGTGGGCGGCGCGAATCCTCTTCATCCAACGATTCGGACTTCAACTTGACCCTGTATTCCGAGGAATCAGATGACGAGCCGGCGGAGGAACGAGCTCCGCTAAAGCCGAGAGTTGAAGGGGAATACGAAAGGTCTTGTCTTGGTCGACGAGAACCGCTCATAGTCGAAGTTTTGGGATGCATAAAACGCGGGGAGCACCTCATACATCTCGCGAGAGAGAAGCACAAGGAGAATCCGATTGTCGTGCCCGCTTCTTACGTCAACAGGAACTTCCCACAGGTGAGATCGGGGGGATAACTTGATCTTGAGCTTTATTCAGGTGTTCAGCGATGGTCCCTCCCACGCCATGCGGAGAATCCTCTCCACAAATATGTTTGCATAAAAAATAATTCGAGAGTGTTAAAAAATGATTCAAAATGCTGACGAGCCTCTCCCTGCTCACAGGTATCCATAAAATTCTATGAAACTCTCCTAAAATGGGAGAATCAAAATAAGTCTCCTGAGGGAGAAATTGAGTAGATCGAGGCTCGAGACGGCCTTTGCGCGACTTCATGCCGCTCCGTCTTGGTGCCATTGCGGCGAGTCCCGATCTTCGTCGTTCCGGGCGGTGAGGGATACGGTACGAATTCCGGCGTTCATTCATCTTCGTCGAATGAGCTGCCGCCCGAATCACGTCCATTAATTGCATTAGCGATATGCTGTATGGCGGACTCTCCATCTATTTTGCTGTCGACACCTACGTAGAAATGAGTGAAGCTTTGGACGAAGGTTGTCCGGAAAACGACAAGCGGATCGCCTTCCTCGACATCTGTGGGAGTCCAGATGAGAGTCACCGACTTCTTCCCAACTCTCGAGGTGTGCGTAGCTCCGTGACATTGCGGCAGAATTTGGACCGCATCCGAAGTCGCCGTGAACTGTCCAATCGATCTGCCATTCAGCGGATTGAAAGCCTGGAAAGAGATCTTCTGGTTCAGATCTTCGCTGCGAACATTGTGAGCATAAGTTAAAGCGAGAAATTTCGGAGAAATGATTGAGATTTGAATAAAGCTAAGTGTTTTAAAATGGATCATTGTGGGACTTATGCTGACCTTGATGAGAAAACCGCGGAATGAATCCTGGGAGCCGGGAAGCGTAGCGAGGGTCACGGTTATCGTCTCGCTCATATTGCCGTAAACGATCCGGGACTGTGTCACCTCGAACGGGCAGGAGCTCAGTGGTTCCGGTTCGATGTCGAGGTGGTTCGGAGTCATTGACGAGCAAGCGACGGTTGGAGCACCAGTTTCGTATCCTATTGAGGTACCGACCACCAAAGTCAAGCACACGAGAGCAGTAACGGCCGACATCGTCGTTCGAGCTTATGGTGTTCCGTCGGGAATACCAAAGTCACGCTTTGAGAAAATACCAGGAGAACCCTGGAGCGACACAGCGGTTAGACTTGAGAGCGATCTAAAACCCGCTTGAGATTCAAATAAATCTTCCAAGACGGTCTCGTCAAAAAAGTGATGACCGCGGGTGAAATCCGATGCTGGAATCAGGAGATGACCGGCAAACGTTGACGTTCTGTTTCGGGACGAAAGTAAACTGTCAGCCGTCAAAACCACTCGGCTTGCTCGAGCAATTCTAGCACCGTAGATGCTGCAGGATAACTGCGAGGGAAATCCGTGGCACCAAACGCGGACAAAAGTTCGTGTCGTTTCAGGAGTTCGCTCCTCCCGTGCCGTCCTGAGGGGGGCAATCCCGAAGAAGTTTCTGCTCAAACATCGCTACTTCCGTCCGAAAATTACTTCAAGCTCTCTCCGTCGATGACGTCGGGATATTCATCTCGATTCCTGGGAATTCCGCAGGCCTCCTGATTCCGAAGTGATCTAGGGATTCTCAACAGAGCTCCTGAGTCAAACCGGAAGTGCTTACTCGACTTGAGCTCTCTTGTTTAAGTTCAGGAGCATGTGCAATCTGGCTGAGTGCGAGTTTTTGTGATGGCAAAGGCCGAATGATGACAAATATAGGTTCGAAACGTCGTTCGGAAAGAGATAAGTTTATTCTCACCGAGCAAATCGAAATTGATGATAAAGAATGAAAATCATCATGATCATAATATGGCAATTAATGGTCTATACACAGATGCTTCATGATCCCGAAGATTTCTAAATCACAGTCGTCTTCATCGTCTGTCACGCATGGGCGAGCCATCTCCGAGGAATATCACTCCTTTCGCTGTAAAATAAATCTTCTCGGGTGGGGGATGGCCCCTTGAGCGCAAAATTGATGATTTTGCAAAGATGCAAATTGAGCTGCGCGGCACATCACCCAGGTTTAGCGAGTGATGTTATGATGTATGACTCGATTCGTGGAAACAAATGCCACCTAGATTGGTTCAGCGCCCGGCGGTGATCATCCTGGATACCGCACAGCACACAATCAATAAAACGCTAGACGCAGTAAATCCAGCGGAGGAGTTGAATGCCGGCGACTGTCTCGACTTGGAGTTCCTCCTGCCGTTCTTCTCGAGGATTTTCGCCTGGCGGAAGTAAGGTTTCGCGGTGGTCGTTGTCGTTGTTGGCGCGTCGTATACGTCGTTCGCATCCCTGTAATAGATTAGGAATTATCCGTGACTGATCGGGATTGTTGGGTGGGCAGCAGTGAGTCTCGCTTGATGCAACATGACATTATAGTTCGTGAGCGCGTCGGGGTGCCCTGCGTGGATGAGACTCCCCCTTCCAGTCCAAATCCGGAAAAGATCAAAGCGGGCACACGGATTGCTAGTCAAAGATTATCCCATGCCTACTGGGTCTGATATTTTAATATTTCCTCGGGACGAATTCCCGAGCCGTTTTTCCGTCGATTGAGCGAGTTTTGTCGCGTTAAATGCGAGACACGCAGCGTCTACCAATGTCAAAACACGCGAAGAAAGCATTTCCAGGCTCTCCGGCTATTCTGAAACTGTTCATTCGGAGAACTCAGATCAGAATGCGGGCTTCTCGGAGCAGCATTCAATAAGGGCGTTGAAAATCATCGCTGGGACCGCCATTGTTGCGTCAATCGATTCCCGCGATCCTCCGCCGCTGAAGACATGCGTTGGCTCGGGAAGACGAATCTGCCGTTCGCGTGGACATAATTTTTCTGAAGAATGAGTTGTTCCCAGCGAAGGTCGTTCTCATATGCAGAAAATTGGCTGGCGTCCCCTGACAGAAATCCTCCCAACACGCGATAGGAGTTTAGTGTCCTGCCGATCTCCGCCGAGCTCGACTGTCTTCAACAGCGATCATCCCTTATTTTCCTCAATTCACGCTCTTTTTCACTCGCTTTCTGGATCGTCGTTCGTCATTGGCTGTCGTGGAGTCAAAGAGAAGCAGAGATGCAGGCTGGCACGCTCGGGCGCTTGCGAGCTTGCCGTGGAAGCCTCCCCTGTACTGATTACGATGCTCCTCGTCTGAGCTGATTGTTTCCGGAGAACTGCTGTCTTCCCTCAGAGAGTCGTTCGGTCCAACAATACTCCTTCTCGAATAGCCAGAACGATCGCAGTCAAACAAGCCAAGGACTCTGAGGTCGAGTCGAAGCGTTCGAAGGCGATGAAGTCGTGGATATCTTGATGTCTAAAGTCTCATCACGGATGAATAGGGGGACGAACAGATTCAGGTCGTTTTATTTTCTCCGCGACGACGGGAGTCTGGAAAAATCGGACACAAGAGAACGGAAAACTCACCCAGAAAGAAGGTACGGAGCCCACAAGTGACATTTATCGGTGACATCTGTGTTCACCGCTCTGACCGCGCCAGGAGCCAGATGCACGACTGTAGGGTTCGCCTCGGAGTACAACGGCCAGGCGGTCGATTGTCCGGGGACGGAGGGTTTTCTGGAACGTTTTCGAAAAAATCAACACCGGAGATTCTCACCGCAGCTCCCGGAGCGCGAATCTCGGGCACGGAGGCAATATTCAGATGGTACGAGACACGAGATCGGTAAATATGAGTCTTCCGCTTACCCTTCGACCATGAAATCTCTGATTGACGCGAGCAGCTGCTTCGCAAACTGTCGATCTACATCAGTGTACCCATCGAGGGTCTGTTGCAGAGCCTCTGGGTTCGTCGGATTCCAGGGTCTTTCCACTTTCTGGATGGACAGATAGAGGAATTCGGTGAGTACCAGATCTCGAATCAAAAATCGTGATTCGGAGAATACCCTCACTGAAATATGGCATCGAAGCATCGGACTTCCCCAGATGGATTCCGGGGAGATGCGCCGACAGAGATCAAACGAGGCCTACATAATATGGTGAACTCGCCTTGTTCAATGCGATGCCGAGGAAGAACATCACATCATCGGTATGAGTTGCGGGGCCGTCGCCCATGGAATTACTGAACGCTTTAGCACGTGGCCCATCGAGCGCGTAGCGATATATGCGCGTTTTTTTGCCATTTTTTTTCTCGACGGAGTTCATGTAAAACTTGATGGGGCAGTCGAATGATACATCCGTGACGAGACGTGGCGCCTGTAAGGGAATGTTCGATCAGGAATTCGACTCATGGGGGCAAGATCATCTAGTTTTCGGTGTCAGAGGCTTTAGAAGGGAAGTGGGTGAAATTATCGCATGATCGCTCGCTCGCGATGAATGCTGAATTTTCGGTCGCTTTCTGCCGGTATAGAAAATTCACGCCTCAGATAATCCCTATCAAACGCCTTCAATGTCGACGGCTAGACTACTCGGTCGGCGATAACAGCGCCCAGGACCTCAAGTGTTGAAGGGGCGATGGAAACCTGAGCTAAGTCGACGAAAAAGAGCGGAAGCTGGATCCCCGATACAAGGCTCCGATATCGATACGAATGATAGGGGAATCAATGAAATTCTGGTCAAGTTCAGCTCCGCTATAAATAGCCTCGCATTCAGCCTTTGCTGAGCGTAGCTTTCGGCGTGCGATGCGCTCTTTGTCCCCTCCGAAAATATTGTTCCAAGACCCGACGTGAGAAAGTTTGGGGATCGGATATCGCACAGGAACACGTTGGACGATCTTGTTCACGAATTCTAATCAGACTGCCGACGCATCCAGCGAGGTCTGGCCGTCGTGTGTCGCGGTCGGCGTGAAGTGAGTCCTTATCTAACGGGATTGAGACAATTTTCGATACGAGCCTGTTCGAAATGAAAAATCGGCTCGGTGCATACGAGCGGAAAATGCTTGCGACCGCTCCGTTTCTTGGAGCGTTTGACTTTGAAGTTAATTGGAAGTAGGTAAATCTCTTGTTTGGATCGTGGAATCAAGGTCGATGGATCACCGTTGGTAGTGTTTGTTGGTTTTCACATTCATCACATGGATGGAGAGTTGACATGATTCTCGGCCAGGACAGTCGAACCCATAAGCTCGACACTGAGCCTTTCGGTCTGCGAGACGGAAGTCGATCGATAGGTTGATGGCTCACGACTCCCGATTTCGTTTAGGGAAGTGAGAGAAGCCAGAATAATAGTATAAATTGGAATGCTGATCTTATCAATGGGCAAACACAGCTTTCGCGCCGAAGCCATTCGACGGCTCAGAATGATATGATTCCTCAAGCGGTACCAATAGCTTGTCAAGGGTTTATCACTTTAATTCTGAATGGTTTCGCAACGCTCAGCGTGCTTTATCTAGGAATCTAGGTGTGTACCCCGAACACGGAATTGCTTCCGCCGAGCATTGTCGCATCTGTCCACAGAATTCACTTAGAATCGATCAGTTCAGATTTAATTCTCCGACATCTCTTCCTTAGAATTTCTCCCGCATCGCCACCGAGCGAATTCCCGATGGAGGAGCATCACCAAAGCTCGCCAGCTGATTGGGATCTCTCCAGAAACTTCTGACCAAGAGCGACATGTAGGTTTCGCTCTCGTCAGGGTAAGGACCTTTCGGGCTCGTCCGCGCGGTTAGATGAGGGGAACGACGTCGACACTGACTCTCTGTTCAAGATACACTCGCGGTGTGAGGTATGCTCGGCGTGAGAGTAGACTACCGAACGAATTCTTCTCCCTTTTTGTCCCAAAATTCTCTCCCGGAAAATAGAGGAAGGCTTGCACGGTCGGTAGAGAGAGAGGAAAATCATGAAAACAACAAGACCATCCATCGAAATTTCCGAAAGACCTTACAATCGCCTGGGATGCGTGCAGGGACCAATAGAGAGCAAGCGATGAATGTGTTCACATACGACACAAGCGGAAAAAGATCAACAAATCGTCGGAGCCTGTGATTGGATCGCTCAAAGCGAATGATTTATGCGATCCTCAATCCGTACCGACAAAGGTCGATGCGAGAAAGAAAATCGTCTAGACATTTGCTATTGAAAACCGATTTCTCTGATGACCCTGTGCCAGAAAAACATACTCGTCGCCTTCCGAGCGATCGATTTTGAATTCGTTAATGTGTGTATCTCATACTGTTCGCAGCAAGGGAATTTGAGATGAATGAAGAATAATTGAGCGACGAGAAATAACGATTGAACGTTTCGTCAGTGTCAGCAAAAAATCATGATCCGCCTTCCTCGAATGTTGGTCACCTGGCCGATAAAGCCCTACCCGAAGCAGTCGATTCTACCGTGTTAATCGCCTAATTTCATTTCCCATCCATACATCATCTAACCAATCAATCGCCTGAAAGAGCCTTCAATCGACGAATAATCATAGCGACCGATAGGATAATCGTGTCTAATGTACACAGACACTGAGTCTCAACGAAGGCCATTGATCGATTCCTGCCATGCGGTAAGTGATGCCGCTTAAATGGTCAGACCAAATCAGAAATGTGCCGCTTTCTAATAGAGGGAGGGGCATTTTCTGGATGATAATATCTTTGCGACGAGATTTCGCTACCGAGTGCTACGATGGGGATATATCTCATTCATTTTAGAAGGGTCCTCGATAGAGGTGATTGACCGAGGAGCAGATGTCCAGAATAGAGGCACGTTTCGCTTCGCCAAACGACGGAAACCCGAACTAGAGCAGCGTGACATTCACTCAAGGGAGACACTCTCGTGCGAGTTCGTGCTCGTGAGACGTTCATAGTCGTCGCGCCGAGGCAGCGCAGCCTTTCATCAGGCGGATTCGTACGAGCCCATCAGTTGGGATTCGACTTTCTTGCGTGAGCAAACGGTGGAGGAAGGCCGGATTGCACAGAAACTGAGGAAGGTTCCAGCGAGACAAAGTTGAGGCACGCCACGGCAAAAATGTCACAGCAAGAGCTGCCGAATGAGAGAGCTTGGCGCTTCCATTTGACTGCGGACGGGGGAGTGCGTGAGCTCTCGAAGGACACAGATGCGATCTCAAGCGGGTCTGAGGCAGAGCCATCTCGTCATCTGATGAGATGGGATCCAGAATCTCTATGCTACCGAGCGGTTGTCGAACTACTATTGTCATCAGAATAAGCATGGGTCACTCACTTTTTGGAAGACGGCATCGTAGCCGGCGTTGTGCTCGTCGTCGGTGACGTATTGGTGGTAAATACTGTAGGCGTCTTTATTATTTATCCCGAACAGGTGTCGAAGAGCCAAACGCAGCGCGATGTCTGCACCGGAATTCCTGGCGAGATCCTCGATACCTTGGGAAGACAGAGGCTCTCGTTCAGAAAACACGCCTCTCACGAATATGATGTGTCCCGTCCCATTTTATATGGGTCCGAGGCCGAGAGAAGCTCGGGTGTAATTGCAATTCTGTTCGATCCAGGCACTGTATACGATGAATTATTCGATAACTCCGACCAGAAAATAAGCCTGAGCGGGTTCGAGTCAGAGATGCTAATCCCGATAAAACAGAAGCGTTGCTCGAGCAGCCCGTTCTGAGCTCGGATCCACTGATAATGATTCTGTGAACTATCTACTTACTTGCGTCTAGACCCATGACTTGTTTGACGATGAGTTCGCCGTCGGCGGCCGTTGATCCCAACATGATATCCTGAAACGAACGATTCTCCCATGAATTTCAGGGACATGATTTATTTTCCGGAGTTCCTGACGGGATTCGCGAGGTATGTCAGGTCCCTCTAGCTGTGTCCGTACCGTCCGAGTTTCGATATTGCGATCCGAAACGATTGAGCCAAAAATGACGCAGCCCTCCTGCTTTCTCGACAAGGCTTGTCAGTGCTTTGTGTTCGTTTGTGTATGTTCCCGTGTGATTGTCGTTGCCATCGCCGTAGTTGTCAACAGTCGGTTGCGTACGAGTCAGGTGAAAAATTAAGTGGGACGTGAATTTTATGATCAGTAACATTACTTAACATAAACGGCGATACGCCTTGACCTAGACGGCGGCGGCGTTGTTGAAGCGAACGACTGCCGCGCGTCTTCGAAATGTTCGAAGATTCTGTTGAGAGAATGCAGGGTCAAATATCCGCTTGTTGTTCCTTACGCGCTCGTTTCGTAACGTACGAGCCACGCCAGTGACAACACAGCGAATCGAAACGCCAACGCCGCCAGATTTTTTGTACCAGAATGTCTAAGTTGGTCGGAGGATCGAGCACGAGACAAAGGGAAAGAAATTGAAGCTCGTTACGAGCGCTGCGTCGATAGCCACTCATATCCGAAACCCATTCGCCTTGATTGCTCCAGCGATCATGCTCTGAAGTCGAATGTGCTCTCCAGTTCCGTCCAACTACCTCTTCCTTTGTCCATCCGTCGGCGACTCGATCCACGTCGACCTTATTGACGGGTGGCTTTCCCTGGATTTCGCATTACCCAGGCCGGAAAAGTGTGAGTCACATCAATCAATACCAGGGAGAGGTAAGGGACATGGAATTGGAATTTCATTGCTTATTGTAAACTGATCGAAGACCTAATCGTCGGCGTTGGCATCCGAGACCCGAGGCAGTGTGCCGAAACTTTCGTCGGAAATCTCTGAGCGCAGCGGCCGCTCGTCTCGGCGTATTCGGACCTTGAGCTTCCAACAACAGAAATTCATCGCATCCACGGAAGGTAACGTCACGAGTCGGCGCGCAGTCGATTTTTCTTCCACCCTCCACGGACCACAGTGGAATGACATCCTCGGGACTTTCGCTCGGAGAGTAGGGAAAACCGGGGCGTTCTGCTCCGCTTGATGTCCTGCCGAAAAACGGGTTCCCGAGGGAGATCCCATTCAAATCTCTCTTCAAGATACTCTCCTCATTAACCCAATCGGAGCTCTCCATATTCCTCGCTGATTTCACTCGATCTCGAATAATTGAAGTTGCCCGCAAATGGACGCATTCTGAGTGCGCGTCGTCTATGCCACATCTCCATGTGGTGCGGGGGGGAAGGGGGGGGGCGCTTCGGCATCATTGCTGACGAGGCCGACCGATAGCGAAAAAAAACCTCGGATCCAGACCTCCAGACAACACATGCCACACTGAGTGACGCTGACGGTCTGTGTGACATCTCCGAAGCGACCAAAACGATCTGGCGCTCCTCGGCCCGCCCGTTCCCCGTCTCACCGGCTACTGTTCGCAATTCGAAAACTTCGGTCAGTGGTATCATCTTTGTTGTCCGTGTCCGTGTCTGGCAGCGGGCGGTCTCTCAGCCCCGCGCTGGTTTTCTCTTCGCGTGAACATGAAGCCGCAGAAGTTCGCCCACCTGGGAGACGGGGAAGGGCTGGACCGGTATCACCAGCCGACTTGTTGTGTTAGCAGATTGTGGGAATCTTTCACGTTATTTTTTCATTGTTTTTCCGTCATTCACGTCATCAAGCCATAGTAAACAACACATTAACAACATAGATGCGTCCGGAGTGAATTTGAGAGGAAAACTGGATAATCTGCTACATGACGAAATACCCTAGTCCTAAAATTAATCTACCGATCCAACTTTCGGCCAAATATTCAGGTTTCCGCTAATGAGCGGAAAATCGAGGACCGCCTCAATTAGCGTATTGATGGAAAGATGGAAACAGTCGAGTCTGATCGCTCGGGAATTTTTCCCGTCCCCGATCCGCCGACCGGATACACTTTCGATGCGGGTCCTTCAAGAAAGAGGATAACATCGCGACAAACACTGCTCCATATGCCTCAAGTACACAGAGCTGCTCCTCAGCCTTGAGAAAATATCGGGAACATCCAACACAAGCGACATCTGCCTCGTCATCAGATCCGCTGATTTTTTCGAGCGTTTTTACGGATTCGTAATTTTTGGCGATGTGATAATTTCCTCCTCAATATGACAGCATGACTGCAAAGCCAAGGCGAGGGGGAAAAGACGCAACCCGACTTCCGAGAACATTCGCCGTATCCTGATCAATTATCCGGATACAGAAATTTCAATCGCTGCGGAAATCCGCATTAAGTGAATGAGTTGAGCTCATCTCCAACGACGTCAGCGCTCTGAGCGATTCCACCTTCCGAGCATTCTTTCCGGCTCGGAGAAATGCGCGGCGGGCATTCTTGCATTGGCATCGATCGAGTTGAGCAGTTTCCACGCGCGATAAATCGACACACTGTGCATCATGAATTAGGGAATATGCTCATCAGAAAATCGGCGGGGCTGTTTTTCTGGAAGCTCTTAACGGAATCTTCTCGCTTCCGACACGCGAAGCCTCAAGCTGCTACCGTTGCCACCGCTCGCTCGGCTGCTTTTTTCCCATCCGCGCGCAGTGTCATGACGGGTAAAGCTTTTGAATATTTACTGACATCGCTTCCGTTCCGAAGTTTTGCTTCCGTTTAATTCTCCGTTCGACCAAGGATCATCGGTCGGTCGTCGGAGCTAGTTTCAATGTCAAGATGCTTCGGGTATCTTCACGCCGCTATGATTCTCTGATATTTGGCCGTATTAGTGAATCAGCATCTCATTTGTATGCGAGCGTCCGTTCACATCCGGCTGTCTCGATGTTCCCCGGACGAGCCTCGCGATAAACATGACTGTGTACCTCGTATTCGATGCATATCGGCACGAGAGTTATGACCCGTCCGCATCTCTTCGGGGGCAGATGAGATCGGGGATATAAGTCCATCATCCACATGTCCTTCTGAAGGTACTCGTCCTTATTCCCGAGGATCGTTATGGTCGATGCTCCTGGAGACACGCGTGCCCACTCGGAGACTTCCTTCAAGATCCCCGCCCGTCGCATTTCGGAAGTTTTGGCTGCTCCGCATCAAAGTGATTCCCGCGGACGGCGCCGACGGCTGATTTCATGGCTGCGATACCGTCGTGTGAGTGACTTCGAGCTTACTGATAGCGACAAGCAGTCGACGGTGAATCATCACTAATAAAGCGGATGACTGACAAGCCGAATAGCGGAATGAATGACAGAATTCGCGAGTCGTTAGGTCTGTCATTCTGAAGCAGAGCTAACACTTCTGCAAACTCATTGAGGTTATTCTGCGTGGGGTTCCACCGTGAGTTGACATGTCGTCGCTGTGGATGTGCGCGGCATCGTCCTTCGTGTTGTTATGAAAGCGAAGCTGTTCGCTCTACAACATTGTACCTTGCGCAAGCAGCATCCGATCCTGCGCGCGAAAAAGCGTTCGTCTACATCCAAAACGCCTTTCGACGGACCGATCGTACGGTCCTCGGATTCTGACACCGTGGAGCAGCCCTCGGCATTGCGGCTCGGGTTATCCTATCCGCGCACCGGAGTCGAGAGGGCTCTGCGATGGCCAAACAAGTGCGCGTAATTTTTTCTGGACCGATAGCGGAGCTAATTCTCTGAGACAAAAATTCTGAATTACATAAAGCGATCTGGAATTAGTTTTATCATCATCTGTCAATGCTAGACTTCCAATGATTATCCTCGGTTCGTTTGTGGTTCTCAGGTGAGAAAATACGTCGCCGAGATCGGTGAGATCGATTGTTTGGCGGCGATAGTACCTAGTACGAGCTTTGAGCGAGAGTTCCCTGTTTCCGCCGATGATGCTTGCGAAGAACAGAATTCGGGATTCGGGACTAATGGGGGATCTGGGAAAAATTCCTCGCAGAATGACAGCGACTGACCGGGCGTGGAGCCTCGACGTCCATTGCACCCACGCCACCGAATCTTTCGGGTTTTGAAAAGAACAGAATCGCGTTGATTACGGCTACCGGAGATCGCGTAATTACTGCAAGAACGTTGCGCCGCTCGCCTTGATACAACCACCAGCAGAGAGATTACCTTGCTCTTCTGGTGCGGACCCTGGCCATGGCATGAACCCCTCGCAAATAGATCGAGACAAATGCACAGAAAACACATTCCGGTATTCGCGCGTAACGACCGAAGCACCCGTTCCATTAGAGAAAACAGAAATACCGCTATCGGAAAAATTCAGTAATTGAAAGTTATTCAAGAACGAATCGGCGACGGTCTGTGGTGATAAGAGACACGGAAAAAATTAATCGGAATTCATCCGCGATTTTCTGCCACAAATCCCTGATACATTTCACCTATGTAGGTACAGTTCCAGAAATCGAATCCTACAGGCAGCTCCAATAGGGACACATTTTAAGCGCGGCAGAGTGGACGCTCCACCTGAATTGCGGAAGCTGACTTTTGACCTCAACTGGACGTAATGCGCGAGGCCGTCTACAGGGCAACGAAAACTCCGCCCTGTGCTAGGGTGTCGGTTGCATCTGGTTGTGCCTTTTTCATGTAGATATGCGAAAGCACACCGAAGAGCGCGGAATTCAACAATGAGGCAGATCATCCACCCGATTGGGTCACCGGCGGCCTCAATCACTCAATCAGAAGCCGACGTATCGCTCCCCTCCATCACGGAATCCGGCACAGATTCACCCACGTCCGACCACCGGGGATGACTCAATGTAGAAACGATTAAGCTCTCCAGGTTTAGCGAAACGCGTTCCTTATATAATACGCGACCTCGCCTTCCGCACAATTCGAGACGGATCGACTTTGCCGTGAAGCAGCGTCGATGACCACCGCGAAGAAGCCCACGACGAAGACCAGAAATAACGTAGGGTCCGAGCCGTGGGCAACCGTCCGGGTCATTAGCTTTCACTCATTGTGAACGACAAAGATCTTTACCACCGTCAGGGGCGGGAAAGAATGAGACAGAGAACCGTCGTCGGGGGGGGGGGGGGAGACGTCACGGAGAAGACTCATACCCATCCACCTCACTGAGCTCAGTCTTCTCCGGACCTGGGGAAGCTTCGATGGAATGCGTCCGACAAAATATTCATAGCCTGAAGCGCACTTAGTATTTTCACATAAGATATGTGATAGACTAGAATCTTCGATACGGCGCGCCCCCGAGGAAGCAACTCCTCCTCCCCCATACCCCATACCGCCGGAAGCTGCCCGCGCCGAGCGGAGAGCACGATTTTATGCGAATTTCATGCGCTCGGTCGTTTTTCGGCAGGGGAGCGTCATTCGGTAGGCTGTCATAGATCACGTGACCGCCTCTGCAAACACGGGGAGAAATTTCTGATTTTCTCATTCTCCCGTCGGCGAATGGCGGGGAGAATCAGAAACGAATACTAAAGGACCGATCGTCGTTCGAACGAAGCCCGGCCAGCGCGGTTGCGTGATGGAGGTACAAGGGGCGTAGAGCTGTCTTCGTTACCATACACGATTCGGTGGCTGAATTTCCATGAAGTCTGTATGCACAGAATCTTCTTCCGATGACGTATGCTCGCCTCGCTGTATGTATCGCTCCATCGATTCCTTCTTCGCATTAATGACGATGAGCTGCGCTAGACGAACAAGCTCTCATGGAAAATCGGAGTCTCCGACAGTTTTTCCACGGCTGGAGGAAAAACAACCGACCAACAATCAACCAATCCGGAGATCGGTCGGTCTGGCGACCGACGGACCGATCACGACGTATCCACGTCATCGGAAGCCCACAAAATCTTTGCCACCATTGTTTCTAATATTTTTTGGCGCCGGACACGTGAACAACGAAAAAAGCACGTACTTGATGAGCAAGCTCAGCAACATAATGCCTCAATCGGTTTTTTGAGGATTTCCTGCGGGAAGCGAGGGACGGCTCGCCCACACTGCCCACTTGTTTTCCCATCGCAGATTCGCTGGAGTCTCACAAGTCACAAGAACCCAGCGGGACTTTGGAGATCTTCGGTCCCCGCGGTGCTAACAGGGTGAAGTTTCCGCCAAGTCGCGAGCCCTCCGAGTGGATGAAGAAAGTTCTGCTCGACCTCTGCGGAGACTCGTCTCAAAGGACTGCCGCCAATGCTGGTTGCTGGCTCTCGCTAATCGAGTATCTCCTCAATGAGGATATCTCTCCCTGGCTCGGGGCCAGTCTTCGGTCCCCTCATCACCACCTAATCCGTCTTTGCAAAGTCCGTCGCTGTTCTTATCCGGCTCGAAGTCCGGCTCTACTCTCGCCACGCCCGGCCTCCTTTCTCTGACCTCAAGATTCATCTGTCTCCACTCGATCCTTCAACCTGAATCCGATTCCGTTAGATTGGAAGGATATCACACAGCGGTTGGCATGGGGTTCACCCAAGGAAGTCGGGAACCCTCCGAAGACGTTTTGTCGATGGAATGAGTAATATCTGTGATCGCCATGCCCACCCCTAATGCGCGTCAACTCCAAGTCTACCCTCCGGCGTCAGCTTCGGAGTCACCATTCGTCTTCCTCGTTCTGTCAAGTAGAGTCGTGGATGCGTGATCGATATGATTGACGTATTGCCCACGCGAGTCCCGTCGCTCCAAAAGCTCCTCGGACCCGGGGATCAGCGACAGATGAAGGTCGTTTGCATCTTTTGACGAACTCTCCGAGGGAAGGCGGATGGAAGTATCGGCAAAGAGAACTGCGGGGAGCTCTTCCCGGAACGAAGAAAACTCTCTCCGATTCCCAATGTTCCCGACCCGAAGACATGATAAGCACGAGGAAAAGTCCTGAGAATAGACAGTGCCAACCCCACTGTGATATGCTGAGAATTAAGTCAGCTCCAAGATCTTAAGAGCTGAAAGTCAAGTTCAGCATAAAAATCATGAGCCTTTGTTCGACGGCGCCATTATTTTCGTTGCTTTTGTTGAAGAGCTTCGGCTGACAAGGCTTGGAACGTAGACTTTCCTTGTCTTCACATGTCGAAAACAGAGAGCGCACAGAATTTTGCCGGAAAGTTAGTCACTCGAGGAAACCAGCACCCCGATCTTCCCATTCGACAGAGAGCATCCAAAAAAAGAACAGTTTTCCCCATGCGATGTTCGATCCTCGACCGCGTCATCAACCGCGACAAGCGTGACAAGCCAGACGGCTTGGGGATAGAGCCGGAAGGCCCAGACGAAAAATCTCGACACCCTGCGGTGCGATAAGAGTCCGGAATTGACATCGTTTCCCGAGGCGATGGCCAGTGATCGACGACCTTGATCCCCTCCGAGGTCATGATCTCGCGGAGTTGCTTTTTCAAAGAACAGAATTTTCCTACGCAGCATAGACCTGAGATCAGATTTGTCGAGATGACAGACCCTCACCGACGTTCAAATAAGGACGGATATCGCACAAGAATCTAACTCACCTCGACGTTGTACTGAAGTTCCGAGGGTCGTTTGAGGCTTCCCGCGATGATTTCGCCGTCGAATCCGGGCCCGAAAGCCAGGGAATCGGCTCCACTCAATTTTTTCATCTGTCCGAGCAGGGTCTCCTTGTCGAGTGTCTTGAGACACTTAGCCATCTGATCGTACTGCTCGCCTATCGTGAGATTCCCATCGAAACAATCGAGGAAATTAGAGATCGTGAAGAGCAGCGTCTGACCGTTAGCCTCACTGAAAAACGCCAAGGTGCTCGCGGCACCGCTCAGCATCATCGCTCGTCGGAAGAGCCCTTTACTCGCCGGTGACGAGGTGTGAACCGAGGTGGAAATCGCTCCCGCACTTTGGCCCGCGAGGGTTATCAGGTCCGGATCGCCCCCGAAAGCCTTGGCGTTTCTCTTGACGAACTTCATGGCCATGAGCTGATCGAAGAGTCCCGCGTTTCCTGGTGCGGTCTCGGTGGTGGAATTCATGAAGCCAAACATGTTGACTCTGTACGAGGGGATCGCGAGAACGGATTCAGTCTCCGCGGCGAACTCGACCCCGTCGTAGAGACCGAGATTGTTATCTCCCCATTGAAAGAAGCCTCCGTACAGATAAACCATGACCGGTTTGAGTTTTTCGGTAGACTCGGCAGAGGCGAAGATATTCATGTAGAGGCAGTCCTCATCGTTGAAGGTGTTCTCGAGTACGATACCGGGAAGTTTCATTGGGGTTTGGGGGCACATCGGTTTTTTCTCCAGGGCGTCGATTTCCTTGTCGGATGGCTCCAGAGGTTCAGGACGTTTGAACCGGAGGTCTCCCAGAGGTGGCTTCGCGAACGGAACCCCGATGAAGACGTTGATGTCTTTGCCTTCCATGGAACGTACACGATATCCTTTCAGCGTTCCGACGTCGGTTTTCACTGTGACATGTTCCTGGGCCAGAGTTGCCTGCTGGGAAGCCAACAGTACAACGAACGCCACAGACACTGAGAGTGACCACATCTTCACTGCGCTAGGGAGCTCTCAGTGAGTGGATAAGAAACCGACTGAACGACTGTGCGTCCGGATGGCTGACATTTGCTACCGCGCCGTCCGAGTCAACCTTGGCGAGAGGCTTCTTCTCACCCACAGAACACGAAGGAACAGTTCAGACAAATTCGCGCACGCTTGCTTTATTTTAGTCTCGCTGTTTTCTTCTGTAGTGAGTCTTTCGGGAAGGCTTCGATGTAGCCACGCGCATACCCCATGGGCTTAGAGGCCTCGATCGTCGCGACCTGGGCGCACTCACGGAACTCTAATGTGGGAAGGGTGGCTCGAGCCCGACGGGGGCTTGGCCACGGGCAGGGTTGACGTGCGGCTCGCGCACCCCGAGATGGACTGAGTGATCGCGAGTCGGAGCTAGGTTAAGCTCGATTCCTTTTCTTGACCGACCGGTACTTTATTCGCACTGAGCACCAAAGATACACTTTCGCAGAACAAAAATCTCTCCGAGCGTCTCTCAAAGAAGTTTCGGAGAGTCAAAGAGTGATACGAGACGGTCGCGCCCGAAGACTAACCCCGGTTCCCTGTATGATTCATTAAGACACTCTCTCGGACCGGGCCTAGCGTCTATTGAAGTCGAGCGGGGCTCGCACGTCTGTAAGATTGAATTGTCTCAAATGACCAGCTCTTGAGATCAAAAGTAAATCTTTATCAAATCGGCTCTAGGATCGACCTATCGAGAATCCAGGGGCCCGGGATTACTGATCGAGGGGCGACGAGCATTTTCTCGACCAGACATTGGTGCTCTGACTCATGCTCAAGAAGACAATAATTTCCCTCATCGCTGATCAGCAGTCCGTCGGTCTCAAGTCATGGAGATGACATGGCGAAATAGAGGTTAGAATCCACCCGTCTTGGAGGGTACCACCCAATGGTCTGAGCTATTAATTCTGAGAGAAACCGACTCTAGTTTGGTCGAGTGATGAGATCCGCATTTCGGATACGCGTCTTGCGAGAGACAGCGCGTTGGAATATTAGCCGTAATATTCGATACGACCCCGGATAGCACCAGTGATTCATGAAAGAAGGAAGAGCTGTTCATCAGAGTCAAGTGATAGTTTTCCTCGATAAGTGTATGCGGAAAGTAGGTTTCCTTCCTCGGCGATAAAAAATCTTCGTTGGGGAAATGTTTAGAGATCAATCACGCGAACGGGTTGAAGAAAGAATCGCTCTGGATGCTGCATGATGACACGGTCAGGCTTAATGATGAGTCCACCGCTGTTTCCTCAGCTTGCTTCGGAGCTTGGCATCTTGTGTTTGCGCGAAAGGATGTGTAGGGAATCAACGTAGGTCAATCTCCCCATTGCTGTCTTCTGAAGAAGCATCAGATCCAGCTGAATTAAGATTCACAACCGATCGGAAGAGAATTTCTAAAACCATTTCTCGTACGAAGTGATACCAATCCAAATATCAGCTCCAAGCTCAAAACGTATACAGTCGATGACCTTGCCAGCTCTTCGAGGTCTCTGCGATGTGATGACCGAGGTCATCGGATACCGTGTGGTAGATCGTAATTCAGTTTCGTCAGAGAATCATCGAACCTGCAGAAAACAGTCGAGATCGTCTCCTCTATTTGAAGCGCGCTCTGATGCCCCCGGCGTTCGCTGCTAGACCCGCATCGATCTTTATCTGCGGCGATTCCCAGAATCAGAAGAGATCTTGAGCTCGCGCTCGAGAAGCGGCACAGCAGAAGCTCCAAATCTCAAAATAATAATCGAAGCAAGCCAAGCGAGTAACATTTTCAAAAACTCAAGTTCCGGGTCGGAAACCCCCCGAAACTACCACGGTTATCTGGAGAAGAGCCCGGAGACGGAACAACATTTCAATTTTCCGACGTTCTGAAAAGATTCTGTCGAGGCTATATTGAATTTCAGTATCGAGCGGTACCGCATGGCTCCTTAGAGTCGCTAGTTCAGCTCGAAATCACCGCGGCTTTCCATTGTCGTCAACTTCTTGAATTGCTCGCTTGAGAATGATAGGAAACTCCCCTCGGTCTCTCTCTGGCGATTTCCGCGGATTCGATCGGTTCCCAAGACAGGAATATAATCAATCATTCACAACGTTTCCTCGTGAGGAGACAGTGGAAACAACATCCCGACTGTGCTCTTCACTTCAGTGACGCCGCCGGAGTCGGATAGGCTCCGATTTCCGATTATCCCAGACTCGCGACTGATCGACGGCAGACCTGTTTTCTGCGAAATACGGAGAAATTCAGCGGTTCCCGCAAACTTGGAAGAAATTCAGCGTTTCCCGCGAACTGCGATCGGATTCCCACAGTCTCGACCTTTGCTCCCCGCGAAACACATCCAGCCCTACTCATGTGGTCATCATGTTCCTATACGTTCATGAATTGAATGAATATATGTCAGCAGGGCCTGTTGAACAGGCTCGTGTCTTATACTTCGACACGAAATATATAATGTGGAATCGGGTTTCTGCCTCGGAGCCATGGATCTCTGCTCTTGATTCCGAATGAATTGTTTGTACGGCTGGATGTTTTAAAGATTCGCGAGCATCGATCTCGAGCACGCCAGGACCAGCTCGAAAATTGGGCAGTTATTGGACTAGATTGGAGGTCCATATTTCAGCTTCTGTATTCCTCGGAACGTTTGTTCTGGATGACCCACGCGCCCACGGTACATGCCCAGCGATTATGATGATGGAGCCTAAGCCGCTCATTGACGCCGAATAGCACGAGTTTGCGCTGCCTCGGAATGCGAAGAGAGAATTATCGGAGCCGCGAAGAGAGAATTATCGGATAAGTCTGTCATGGAAGATTCGAAATCCGTGACGGGAGCTTACTATCAAACAGGGGCGCTCGGCGAAATCTCTCGGCAAATGGCGGGTGTGCATCCGTCAGTCCGGCGGGTCTCCACTCTTGATCGGAAATTTCGCGGGAGCCGACTCTGCGAAGAACTCGCGTGCAGCGTACATCTTATCCATCCCGTTCCTCGTCTACGACAGAACTCATCTTCGCTAAACATCGTGAATGAAATCGAACGATAGACTCGATCCCGTCTGCGGTCGGTAGATTCTTCCCATCGGACGGAGGGAACTCCAGAATGAACCGCATCCTAAGTTCGAGAAGCCGTTCGCGGATAGCATGCAATGCTGGCCTGAGAAGACGCTCGCGGGCCGCTTCAAGTGAGCTGGCGGCTTGCACTTCGACTACTGCGCGAATCCCGGGAAGTTGCGCGCCGAATTTCGAAATTCGTCTGCAGCTCCGTCCAAATATTATTGACAGTCATGCAGCGGCTGAAACACACATCTTCCTCACAGGACACGATAATCAGCTGATGTGCGCACCAGATTTCTACTTGAAATGAGAACATGGTCCTAAACTTGGGCTTCGGGAGTTTCCAATTGGAAAACGCCGCCCCCCAAGTCTTCGCCACAGTAAAGGATCGACCTGTCACGGCCGCCGAGCTGGACGACGCAATAGAAGACCCAATCGATGCCCGGTAAGTTTCCGCGAAACGTCCATCCCCATAAATTTTGTGGAGAAATTCAGCGGAAGGCTATCGCATCGTCGTGGGTCGAGACTCCCTTGAGCTCCCCTGAGATGGCAGTTCGGGCCACACATCGAAGTCTCGAGAGTTTCTACCCGTGGGCGAAAAAGTATACGAAATTCGTCGTTGTACGAAGATATTTATATTCCGACAAACTCATGAAAGTCGCGATCCTTCGCAGAGAGGTTTTCGACCTCATCCGCGACATAAATGATCCGGAACACCCCCTCACGCTGGAACAACTGAAAGTCGTCGCTGAAGAGCTCGTCACTGTCGATCCTGCAACCCGTGTGATAAAAGTCATGTTCACCCCGACAATCCCGCATTGTTCGATGGCCACTCTCATTGGACTATGCATCCGGGTGAGAGCATAAAACGGGTCGAATAGAGTCCGTGGTGGCTGATTTTGGGCCCCAAGGAGAATTAAGGTTATGGAAGGAAGCGTCCCCCATATGGGAACATATCTCTATGGCAATGATATCTCGATTTGCCGTGTCCTTGAACAATGATCCGTGCCGAATGATATGAACTGGATCTTTCCAGGTGAAGTTGATGCGATCCCTTCCCCGTGAATTCAAGATCGACCTGATGATAACCCCCGGAAAACACGATCAGGAGAGAGCCATCAATAAGCAGCTCCAAGACAAGGAGCGCGTTGCCGCTGCCTTGGAGAACCCCAATTTACTCTCGGTGGTTAACAAATGCATCGCGGAACCAGAATATTAGGTCTCTGTAGCCCGTCATAGGTGTCTCACAGCGGGCTTCCACGCACGAGATGAAACATTCATAATCCGCTCCATTTGTTATCGGTTCCGAATTTGTGATAAACTTGATGTTCTCCTCAATATCTAGTATTCATTGGCTCACATACTAATGTACAACTGGCTCGATCTCGATCGAGTGGCGTACATCGGGCCGCTCCCGGCTCGTATTCCTCCGCGATGAGGGCGAGGACTTCGCTGTACGGGGATGCGGGTATTCCACTTGAAGCACACAGACCGGATGAAGCCGCGGGCGAAGAGTCGTCTGAAACCCACCACTCTCATATACATTGTATGGCGACAGATGGAATTCGTAGATTGACACTTCAGGCTTTAGACGGAGGAATCGGTTTCATACGGCGACGGCAGCAGAGCTCAACATCGAGGAGCCTTCTCTCGCATCTGTACTCACCGGGTGTAGTCGAATCTTGCATCGGTGACACAAAGTTTTCCGCTGCTCCTCTGATATCTCGATTTTCCCCCCAGAGGCCTACATCGATGGATTTTGAGACGGTGGTGTTGCTGTCGAGCCCGTCGGGTATCGCCTGGACTAGTCTCCTTTGAGCCTCAAAAATGAGCTTCATATTTCGCGCTAATTCAACGTAGCCCTCGCTCATCTTCGTCAGCCCTTCCCTGAGCCGTATCACTTTACAGGCTCGATTTTCTCCACTGACTTGTCGTGCTTCGAATTCAGCGAGAGCTTCTTCTCTCTTGGTGTCAGAAAGTCTCGAGTTAAGCCCGATGAGCGTAGCCCTCTGCGATAAGGGGAAGAAATTCGGGAATGCTCCGTGGTGCTTATTTTATCGACTTCACAAAAATTAAGTTTGCGGTAGTATCTTACGCTGTGAGTTTCTCTGATTCCTCTCTCGATCCTGACTCGCGCCTGTTCAGCCTGGAGAGCCCTCGCTTTCACTGCCAGGAGCGACTTTTCGTCCTCGAGTATCCTCTCGAACTGCCCCCGAACAATCTCTAACGTTCCTGGAAACGTACGGAAATTAACCTGGTTCCGAAGGTTTGACGCGAATCCTGAGTTCAGAATCCAATCGATGAGCAATTTGTAAAGCCTACCGTGGAATTCCTTTTGAGAGTTTTCCCACTCGTCATTGAGCTGATTCAATCGTAAAATGACGTCTTGTATGATGGAGTTGCCGTCGGCGCGCGCCCAGTTCAGCATATCCCGAGCAACTGAGGATTGTGATCAAATGAATTTGTGAATGGAATCGGAGCATTATTCGCTTTCTGAGATAGTGTCGCCGACCGCATGCTTCGGACGCCGTGAGTCGCTTCTACCTGTCGGAGCAAAGTGCCGGAACTCACCGTGTCTCTGGGAAACGCGCCAATTTTTCAGTTCTGTCCTCACATCTCCTAAGCCAGAGATTACGAGGGCAAGATCAGAGTGCTCCTGGTTCATCAAGCGGATGCCGCCGCTGGAAGGGAAGGTTTAAACTCTCGACGACTCTTATCAGGAACCGCTGATTTTCCTCTGACTGAGAAGTATCCGTCGAGCTGGCTAAGTATCTTACCGGCGGATGGTTGTAGTTGCTCTTCCCATAGCACGCGGGAGTTCTGGAGTCAAATGGTCGATCGGCACGTCGGGTACTGGCTCTATATATCCGGAGGTAGAACGTGGCGGAGGCTTGCGATCCCGTATCTCGTGAGTTACGTGCTCTCTCCCTACATGAGATAAGCAGTCAGACTTCACTCGGCAGATCCTCGGCTTCGGAACTCACTCAGCCAGGAACGGGAATGGGCTTCAATATGAGATGATTCAAGCACATTCGTCATCCGACACCGCGAATCGAAAGTCTAATTCAAATGTCAACGTCATGTGAACTTCGATGCTAACATATTTATGGAGCCGCTCTCCCCAGCCCCCCCTGGATCGAGTCGACGTCTTCTCATGGTGAAGCGAGACACTTCTTTGGGAGAATGTTCAGTGTTCAGTCATTGATGGGGAGCGGGCTCGATTGTGATGTCGGATCCCGGACTTGAGGAACCGGTTGCGCACATTTTCGAGCCTCATGGCATGATGGATGAAATTCATCAGCTCGTGCCGCTACCAGAGATACGCTGCTGATATACATACACTATACTAATTCTCGGTCCCAGGCGCATCCGCCGGTGGACATGGGGAAAAAGCCGGACTGGGGGAGAACATGCGCTCGTCCAATGGGGATTCCCTTCCTGCTACTAGCGTGGCAGATTGCTTATCTGACGTCTCGATTCCGATCGGCTATCTCGGAACGGACTCTCGAAATACCCCGGTCCCTCCCGGAGGGTTCAAATCTCAGACTTTGAGTGTCTCTCGTGGAATCTTCCTCCGAATCGCCTCATGAGAAGTGCTGAGAGAATACAGAAAGTCCTCTCACGACTTCGCAAGGCCGATGTGAACAATCGATATCGCGAAAATCTGATCCGGGGGGGGGGGGGAAGGCAAGGAGCGTCGATAACATCAGACGGAACTTTGTTGATAACGTTGAAACAAACTCGCCGCTTCCTACGGAAATCCCGAAGCGTCCGATGACTGCGGGCGCTCGTACATCAGGGCATTCCCTCTAACTGGATTATGCCTCTTCATTGAAATAAATACGGGATGTGTAATTTCATTGGTTTTTTATATCACAGCAAGCATATTGTTGACTTCCCAAGTATACATATGTATTTTACAGTCCATTCGATCACTTTGACATTTTCATATCACTTCCGATCCCTTGCGTGGGCACTCCTACCGAAAAGCTTCCTCCAATTTTGCTTCCGGAGTTCCTCGCTTGATTCGATTCTTTTCCGCCTCGCTGTGATCCGAGCCGAGATTCGTGATTCCTGGCTTTTTTCATCGTCTTCCGCACCCGCAGTTCGCTCCCTCCTGGATTTCAGCATCATCTCCTGGTAGAGATCTTCAGGAATATCGAGGATTTCATGAATCTGCTCGAATTCAGGAGGTCTGTAAGAATGTTTTACCTCCCTGGTGAAAACCAATCGACTGATCCTAGCCCGCTGAATCAGATGATTCCCCAATTCATATACCGATATCGAAAATTCAATTTTATAGCTAGATCTATTGACTTACGAGTGTATCGTTTGTTCCTTGTGTCCAAGCCGCATGGAATTCAAGAACAGCATCTTGAGGCTCAGCTTGAAGCTCAGCAGAGCATAGAGTTGAAGGAGGCCGCTGCTGTTCAGTGCAAATATTGGTATACTGATCGGAAAGAAAGCTTCGCTCTCAGCGGCCAACACGAGCAAAGCCACGAGGTGTAGAAATTTCATCACGGAGCTGCGCAGGATCGAGCTTCCACGAAGCCTCTTCTGACTCGAGATCGGACGATGCTATGAGAACAGCGGCGAGGGCGCAAGACGAGGGATCTGCGGCGGCACGCTTCATTGAAGAAGCTCGAATGCGCTGCATGCTCATCATGTCTCGGATGAGGGCTTTGCGGACTTTCCGGCCTTGAACGCGGCATAGTGCATCACTCGAAATCGATCAAGGGAAGTCCAAATTCAGCGCGCACATCTCTAGATGGGTGAGGAACTTTCAGAAAGCACATGCGTGAAGTGCGATTGACCCCATCGCCAAATCACGATTGTCGGTCGAGAGTGAGAAAGAAAACGGGGATGGCTGACAACCTTGGCCGATCCTCCAAACCTGCAGAATTGATTCAGACGAATCTTCGGCTATTGATTCCCTCGGATCGTCGAGGATAGTTTTCCCTGAAACACCTCGAAATGAGATTGGCTCCTCATCGGAGACGTAGCCATCTTGATTGTTCACTTGTCGAGGAGCCGCGAAAACCGACAGCAGCTGACTGTCGGCCGAGGAAATCCAATCTGCTACTGCGAGATATAGGCTGATTGATATCTCTGATCCGATCAACCAATAATGGAGGAAGATTCTCGGAAACCAGGATATCGAATTAGGCCTCCCGCAGAGCAACCCTGAGAAGTCGACCGCGGGCGATTTCGATCGTTGCGAACCGAAGAAAGGAGTACGCCAGACGGTCCTCCGCGCAATCGCGGGATTGCCGCGCTCGCTAGAACGACGACTTTAGGAAAAAGATTCGCCCCGACGCGCAACCGATCTTTAAATATCAAGAGCCGTGACTTCGCTGAGTCTCCTCCATCCTGATGCAGAGTCTAGAATACGAACGGATCCGCAACTCGCCCGACCGATTGATAAAACCTGCACGCTCTTGTCGATATTCCCAAACATTTATGACCGCGTGAGGAGGCGGGAAGGGGGGGGTCACGACATGACTGAAGCTGAATTGTATCGCAGTAAGTATTTATATCATTCGATTCGACTCGTTATAAATATAATTGACTCTGAGATTTCCTTCCGTCGCGGTCATCTTGTTCCGTGCACGAATCCAGGCCTGATTGAAGGAGCTTGCGAGATAGCAACCAACTCGGACGAAAAAGACTGAGGACACAATTCTTTCTCACAGTTTTCCCATGAGAAGTGATCCGCCACTGATATCCAAGCTTGTTCGAGAAGTGTAACGAAGCTCGCGTATGAAGAGTCGTTCGTAAAACAGACTCGCTGCGCGCGTGTACCGAGTTTCTCCTTGTTCAGAAATGCCTTTTCCGCAGCAGTGTCGCATGGGATGATTAGCTCATCTTGCGGTCAGCAGTGCCCAACTCGAATCGAGAGCAGTACCCAGCCGAATTGAGGAGAACCCAGTGAGGAGACATGCATCGAAATCCGAAAGGCGGCTGTCCGGCGAACCTAAATAACGCAAAATTAAGTCAGTATGCGAATTTTGAAGGCTCGAATAGGTCCCAGAACGAGAGGAGACGACCTAGTGGATTATGTTATGGTTATGGTCATGGTCGCCGTATAATGACCCTCGCCCATGCCTACATTCTTCCCTTATACTCATGGGCGACCCTGATTCAGGGGCGAGTTTCCAAAGCGGATCTTCCGGGTTTCTTGTTCCCAGCTTCCGAGAGTCCGCTTTCCTCGCACTCTCCTTCATCTGGTGCCGCAGAAAGACCCAGTCTTTTGGCAATCTCTCTCGTCTAGAGGTGATGAGAACCGCATTTCATGATAATATGTGGGATGGTCTCAATTTATATTGCACACCTTGTAC